TTTGTCAGATGCCATTTGCTGCAAAATCCGGAATTCACTCCCAGCTTGAACACACAGCTAATACCAAATGGCTTGCATAATAGCCATGGTCGTACATGGGATCATTTGCAGTGAACAACCCCCTTCCTCTATAAACTGTTTCAGGGATTGCAAAGGAAAGCATGTGAAGCTCTGGAATAAATAAAGCACCGTGCCTTGAGCTGCCCAGTACAAAGCACCCTTGCATGCCGGGAGAACAGGCTCAAAATGACCCAAGAGCAAGTTCCCACTTCACAACTTGGTAAGAATGCTTCCGAGAAAGGATTTTAGATGATGTGGGTAAATCTCACTATTTCTGACCTGCAATAGAAAGAATCAGCTCACTTCTTGAAGGACTGGCATCCCCAGGTGCTGCCTCTACGCACATGCCCACCTGCACCTGGAATCCAGGGTTCAAGCAGCAGACATCACGGGTGTCTCCTCCCCACTCCTGGTGACGTCACCTCCTCAGCTCCACTCCACGTTGATCTGGGTTCCATCAAGTTGGAGAATTTGAGTGTGTAAAGCCAAATGTGTTATCATTTTCACCACAAATTAACAGTTTCTATGTAAATATTGGTATTTCCTCACCCCATGAAGGCGAGAGGAGGCAAAATGGCACCAGCGCATTTGATTTGAACTAATTAAAAGCAGAGGGTTGTGCAATTCAATATATTGATTTTACCAGTGGGACTTAAATCTTGTATAATAAGTGTACACAGCTGCAGTGCTCACTCACCACTGTGCTGTAAAGGCTAATCCGCACAATCCTTCTGACAATATCATGACAGGTCCCACACATCCCTGCCTGTGCCCTAACCCCAGTGACAGCGCCAGAGTGCATTAAGGTGAAGCCTTGCAGCAGCGTGCCAAGAAACCAGTGTGCTGACAGACCCCCAGCTAGGACTGAAAAGTTGGCGTGAAAGAATGAATGTGGCCAGAAGCTTGGTGCAAAGGGCTCCCCATTCAAAATATTCAGCCGGTTACACGGATGGGCAGGCGAGGAAGGGTGGAGACGGGCGAGACTTAGGACACGCTGACTCTTGCAATGGGCCAAATATGACCTTACCGAATAGGGAGGAGATATGAAAGCGATAGGAGCGATCAATCAACTTCGATGGGACTCTCCCTGGAATGAAGTCATCACTTGTCTCTGAGTTCAGCGGACATGTGATATTCGCTCACATCGCAGGCATTCCAGTGGTCAGGGGATCGTGCACCAGCTGTGTTTATCTCGGCAAAGGCTGGATAGCCTACTACGCCGTGGTAAAGCCCCAAACTGTAGCTTGAGAGGGCTGCATCTCAAAAGTGGTTTCTTTTCTCTGCGCATTTAGAGAATCATTACCCTTCCTGCCCTGAAACTGATTTGCAACTGGACCGTGTCTCTTACCCCTTTCATGGGGACTGCTCCACAACCAAATGACAACCCCGGAACAAACCCCCAAAACAGCCACCCAAGCTGGCATCGAGGGCTCAGCCTTACCCTGCCTTGATTTCAGAAGGAAAACACATAGAAGATCGAACAAGTTCAAAGCCGGGTCACATCCATGCTTGGGAAAAGTGGAGGAAAATCTTTGATTTATATAAGCAGGAAAATGAGGTTTAAAAGAAGTGATTTTGAAAGGGTTACGAAAAGCACAGCTGTTGGTGCACTCCTATAGCAAAGGCGCTCTGCAGAAAGAAAGAAAGAAGGGGGGAGCTGTGTGACATCTATATTAACCTCTGGCTGCTCACCAGTGAGGGCCGGGGCTCCAAGTGCTGGAATGTGGAACAGCCCCTTCCAAATTTTAACACAAGCCAGGTTACAGCTGCAAATGCCTGCAGTCCACGCTCCCCTTTGCGAAGCACTCCCTGAAGGAAATTTTAAAACTGTAACAGAATCTTTTTCTAATACTCTACAGTGGTAGAGCCTGCTCTTGAGGGGCAGTGGGAGAGGTCTTAATGCCAAACACTTGTCAACAAAAAGGACAGCCAGATGGCATAAAGCAAAAATCCACTGCACGGCCCTTCAGCTACGTTAACAAAAGCCACTGTTATATGCTGACTCCAATAATGATAGGTTTCCAACTTTCTCTTTTTTTAAATTTAGCATCAAAGATTCAACAAATTTCATGCCTTCATTACCTGGACCAGAGAGACACATGATGACTTCCACTCCCCTACTGCCAGCCGGCTACTTCAGAAGATTTCTAACAGAGCTTCCCAAGGAAAGAATGGCGACGGGCTACGGCTAGACTCAGTCTGCAGAATCGCCATGGCCTGGGGATTATTTAAGAGAGGGTCACTGTTTTGAATTCCAAAATTAAGTCTACACAGAGGAATCGGGGTTGTTAATCCAAACCAGTTTACAAATGTTGCCATTGAACTTAAGGGGCCCAGGTTGGGAAGATGGAAGTCTCACTCGGCCGCTCAGCTCACGTTGCACGGGGCTTCACGGCACAGGCTGGGCTTTGTCACACGGTGAAGCCTTTGGTCCTCATTCCCACCACCTGGTTTTGTCGTAAATTCCCCTCTAGCTTCCCCTCTAGTTTAGATCCCGCTCAGCCTGGCAAAAAACTTGAATTCCAAGAACGACTTATAGGAACAAAACCCAGTTTGGCGGCAGGACAGAAGGAAGCATAAACGCACCAGGTCTGCAAAAGCCTTCAGAATTCAGGCAGGGGTCCCCCGCGCTCATAGGCCCGCCTCCCTACAAGACAGCAGAGGTATGCAGTGCAGGGGGAAGGGGCAGCAAAGGCTGCCAAGATCCTCACCCATGCCCCCCCATCCCACCATAATAATAAGTAATAGCTTGATATGTGCAAGTGACATTTTCTCTTATGTAAAGTGTCAGAATAAACTTGCCTTTAGAAAACTTCAAATACTACAGATCAACATGATTGCAATCCAAGGAAAAACAGTACAGCAGTGTTCCTTCTCAGCAAACTCAGCGTCCAGACAAGTCTCCTACACCTCCCCCACCCCTCTCCAACCCTACTGCCACCCCCAAGTCCCTCCTATGGAGAAATTCCAAGCTACCACAGAACAGAAGGGACAGGCAATTTATTCCTGTGCGGCCGCTTAGCAGAAATTAAAGGCCAACATTAGAAGCATCTACAGGAAGTGTCTCACCAAACTGTAGTCCAGGTCTTCACCTAACTAATGACCTCAAGTTTAGGGACAGAGAGAGAAAGAAAACAAGGTCAATACGCTCTGTTAAAAGCCACTCTGCCATCTAATTTGGAGTGATGTTCCAGAAAGCTAGACCTGAGAAAGTCAGGGTCCCACAAAGCCCAAAGCCAGCCTGACTGATTAAGAGGCTCAGACAAGCCGGTCTTTGTCCTTTCAAGATGAAAGAAATGGATTGAAAGGTGTGTGTACAGCCAGAGGAGGAAAACCACCCAGCTGTGGCCTTCCCAAACAAGTCCCAGCTTGCTCCTGCCACCATGGGGGAGCAAATAGCCCACACCAGAGTTCCCAGAGGCACACTTCGGGTAACCTGGGCTTTCTCTGGGGGAGAGGGAGCCCCTGGGTCTAGGCACACTGCTGGCCCATAGCAATGGGGTGGGGCAGGGGGGCAGGGGGATTGCTCTCATTTGCAGGGCCTTCTGCAGAAGCCAGAGATTACAAATACCTTTTTAATGACCCCAGCCAAGCTCTGAAGGCGGCTGCTGGGACCTGCACATTCAGTGGGAGTACGGGGTACCCAACAGAACAGAAGATGCCATAAATCCCCCACCAGAGAAGGCCCTGGCTAGCCCCAGGCTTCAGGAGGGCGACAGAGCTCTGCATTTATTATTTATGTGCATGTATTTGGAATTTCCTTAAGTTTTTGGTATAGGTAATAAATACACATTGTTTAAAAAAAAAATCACAGAGACAGAAGTGCAGACAATGAAAAATCAGAGCCCAGCTCCCACTCTCTAAGCCCCAGCTGTGCCCCCGCCTCTCTACCTCTCCAGTAAAATCTCCCATTCCTGGTGTCTTCCTCCAGGAGGACACGATGATATACAAGCACACATGTAGCCCCCTCATCTGCACCTTGCTGCTTTCCACCTCATACATCTTGGAGATTGTTCTAAATCAGGTCATATGTTGCTGCTTTCCTCTTAACTGGCTGCTTAGTAGAATTTAAACTTTCTTGAAGGTGTTTTGGCATCTAAAGCTCCCACCCCTCCCTCGCTGAAGCTTGGGTCACTAGTTGAATTTGGGCATTATTAAATACAGACAATGGCCTCTCGGGAACTCCAGGGACCTTATCAGGAGGAGGAAGCTTGAAGGCGGATCAGCACTTCCCCGAGCTCCCAGTCCACGCCCCAGGTGCCCAGCGTGGGGCTTCAGTATCATTATTTCCATTATTCCAGTATCATTATTTCCCACAGGGCCCGTGGGCGTGAGCTTGCTGTCTTGACTTGGTTCGGGTTTTCGCAGCAAGTTACACAAGTAGAATGAAAGCGGCTCAGGAAACAGGGCTATCGGGTCGTGTTATCTCAGAAACCAAATATTTGATCATCAGTCCCGCAGCGCGCTGCCGGGGGTTAGTTTGAGCAAGTCTGGAGAACGTGCGCGCACAGATGGAGGGGGAGCTCTCAGGCCCTCGCCACAGCCCTAGCCTCGCGTCCCCGGGGTCGTCACAGCTTCAGTCGGAAACCGGGACCCCCAGCCGCCCTCGCGGCGTCTGCTGAGAGATCCCGCGCCACCCAATCTCCAAAACCTGTGGTTTGAGCGCCACACGTGATAAATTCTGAAAATGGATTCTGCCGGCCCGGGACCTATTATTAAATATCTAAAATAGGAAACTAGGGGCGGTGGCTCACGCCTGTGATCCCAGAACTTTGGGAGGTCGGGGGTTCGAGACCAGCCTGACCAACATGGTGAAACCCCGTCTCCACTAAAAATACAAAATCAGCCGGGCGTGTTGGCCCATGCCTGTCGGGAGGCTGAGGCAGGAGAATCGTTTGAACCCGAGAGGCAGAGGTTACACTGAGCCGAGATTGCACCATTGCACTCCAGCCTGGGCAACAAGAGCTAAACTCCGTCTCAAAAAAAGAAAGAAAACTAGCAATGGCAGCGTTTCTTCCCCAGCTCCAGCCGACAGAGAACACGGCGTCTGGCAGCCCGGAGAGGGGCCCCAAGGCGCTCGGAGCGCGCGGCACGCTAAGGCGGACGCACAGCGAGGGGACAGGTAAGGCTTGTCTGGGGAAGGGAGTGCGACGCCCTCGATGCCAGGGCCAGGCAGGGCTGAGAGGGGCCCAGGAAGGGCGGGAAGACAGTCTCGCCGGGAAGGGCCCTTTACATTCAGGTAGCGCGGGCTGCGCCGGCCCGGGACAGCCCACATGACCGAGCCCCGCGCTTTGAAATGAGCCGCGGCCCGGCAGGCGCCTGGAGCCCCAGCGATGCGGCCAGCGGCGTAACATGGTGGGGGTTTCAGAGGGTCCCTCTTTCCCAGTAACCCCCAAAGGCCCGCAGAGCCCAGCGCTCCCGACCTGGGGGCGCACACAGCTTGGGAGCCATAGGGCTGTGGGTGGGAGATCCTCGGGCAGGCACTGCGATTTCAGCCAAGAGCAGAAAGCTGGGCGGGCTGTATGGAGGAAGCGGCTCCCTCCCTCCCGGTCCCAAAGTGACCCGAACAGACACGCGTACCCGCGCCTGCCTTACTCACCGAGGTTGACGAAGCTCATGACCATGTCGGCGTCGGTGAGGAAGTGGCTATCTTGCAGGCTGGCCAGAGGGGGGCCCTGGGTGCTGAAGACGGCCTTGTAGGGGTAGGAGAAGCCCTGGCCCGGCCCGCTGCCCTCCTCCACCGCCATGGCGTTGTACAGGTCCAGCATGAACATGGGCGCCGAGTTGTGCTTGCCCTGGAGGTGCGGGCGCGGGCGGTGGGGCAAGCCCAAGATGGAGAGGATCTCGCGCTGCATCTCCCGCCGCTCTTGGCTGCGGAGGCGCCGGTGGATGAAGCTCGAGTGCACCTCGTTGTCCAGGCTGAAGTCGGCCAGGGCGGAGCGCAGCAGGAACAGGGGTGCCCAGAGCGCCACGAAGCTGTGCTGCGCCGCGGCGCGCAGCGAGCGCACGTGCATCGCGCCGGCTCTACGCGCGACCCGGGCTCCGGGCTCTGGGCCCGCACCGCCCCAGGTGGCAGAGGGGGCAGGCGGCCGTCCGCGCCGCTCGGTCACTTGCAGCAGACGTTCCCCGCTGCGCCCGCGCCAGACATGGCCCCTCCCCGGCCGGCCGCGCTCTGCCGGGACCCCCGCCCCCTGCTCGGTGCTGGCCCCGGGCCCCTCGTCCCGCACTCGCCCGGGCGCACCGCAGGGCTTGGAAAGCAGCCCCGGCAAGCGAGGAGGCGAGCGAGGAGGCGGGCGCGGGTGGGAGGAGCAGCCAGCAAACCTACGAGTCCAGAGAGTGAGCGCCGGGGAGGCAGCAAGGAGGCGGGCGGGCGGGCGAGCGCTCCTTCTTCCCGCTCCTCTCGCGCTCCCGCCCTCGGGCGGCGGCGACCCACCCTCTTCCAATCTCTGGCACGGAGAGCAGGGTCCCCAGGACACTCTCCCAAGCCCTGGGCGCTCTGGATCGCACGAGAGGCCGCCTCGGGAGCCCCAGAGTGGTACGCGCTGGGGCCTGGGCGAAGGAGGAGGAGGAGGAGGAGGAGGACGGGCTTCCAGGGGCCACTCCCGCGCCGGCGGCCTCCCACCTGCCCTCGGCCCCGCCCTCCCCCCAGCTGTGCCCAATGGGTTCATTCATTCCCTCTAGAGCGCTTGACAAATGTTTACCGACTGCCCACGGGGTGCCCAGAGCCTGGCGGGACTTCGCTGGGTTGCGGCGGGAGGAATCCGAGCCGGCCCTGCCCTCTTGGCACTCGCGGTCCGCACCAGGAAGGAGGCCGGAGCGGGCAGGAGTCTGCGGACCGCGGTGGGAAAAGTTGGGGGAGCCCGGAGGTGGCGCAGAAATAGAAGCCTTCCTGGAAGCGGTGACCCTTGAGCCGGGTCTTGCCCCTCTGTCCCGGTCTCCTTTTAAGCCGGGCACGCTGGCCCCTCCGCGCCTTCGTGAGCCAGTTGCCAGCTAGTCTCTGCGCTCGCCAATTCTTGGGCCTGGACCTCTCCCAGATTACCAACCCCTGCCCCGCAGCGGGCGCAGCTTGCTCCTCCCAGAGACCTCCAAGACCTGCTAAGCTCAGGTCGCTTCCTCGCCTCACCCCACGCACATCTGAGTTATTTCCTGTCCTTTCTCTTGCTGTCTGGAATTACTGTTTGAGTTACCCCGTGCCTTCTTTATTGCCTTCTCACGCCCATTAGACACCCAGTGCCCTAGGGCCCGGCTCTTGTACCATAGTGCCTTAAACCCTGGGCGGCGCAGCCACAGTGGCTGCGCAATCAGGAGTTGTTGAGTGAATAAGTGAACTTCGTGTAAGCTGCGAAATTCTTCCCCACCTCCTCCTCTTTGGGGCCCTGTATCTTTCCAGCCACCCCTCGGCCTGAGACCAGGCGCCCCAGCCCCACCACGGGGGCTTCCCATCAGCCTCCCCATGGCAGTGCATCCTCTTCCCCTCCAAGGGTCTGTGCCTGAGACCTCCCCACCAGCCTCCTCTCCTGCCTCTCCTCATCCATTCATCCTACAATAAATACCGAGGCATGCACGCGGTCACAAGGGGTCCCCAGACCACTCAGAACGCACGGGTCCTGAGTGGGACCTGCCAGTGTGGGATCTCAAGGGAATTACTGCACCCAGAGTGGCAATGAGGGCATCGGGGTAAAAGTTCATCCCTGTCTCCTTCCCCTCCTGGGGCTAGGTGAGAGAGGGAGTCCCCAGAGGGCAGCTGGGATGAACAGGGAAGGGCTGAGGTTGGGAAAGGGGGTTTTGTCTGGGAGGGGCTCTGGCTAAGCCTCAGCTGGGGCTGTCCTCCCTGGAGCAGGAGAGCTGGGGAAGAGAATTATGGTCTTCTACAGCCTTCTGGAGAAGTAGTTTGGCCAAGTGTCCCTCTGGGTCTCCCTTGGGGGCTTTTGGACAAGATGGCAGCCTGAGGGACCACATGGGTGGAGAAAGGAGAGGCCAGAGGCCAGGAAAGGAGCAGAAAAATGCCAGCCTGCAGGTAGGTCCTGGCCATTTACACACAGACCCCCGTCTGTCAGATGGAACAGGTTCTGATCCCCTATGCCAGCCTGCAGGTCCTGGCCATTTACACACAGACCCCAGACTGTGAGATAGAACAGGTCCTCAGCCCCCATGCCAGGGAGGGGCCTCTGCCTACCCACCAGTCAAGGCCCTCCAACCACCCCTGCCATCTACTCTTCATCCATTCACTCCTTCCTTCAACAGATAAATGTGGAGCACAGGCTATCAGGCAGGGGAGCTGTGGGGCCTGCAACCTGGACAGCCATACAGGGCCCCCCGCCCTCAAGGGTCCCCCTGCTCTCAAGGGTCCTCACTTAGTTTCCTGCTCTAGGTTCACCATATGCAGTTCTGAATCACCTGTGAACAAAGTCCCCCCTGCCCCGTATTTATTTTGCACCTGGCCCAGATATTATGTGGCCAGTCCCAGGGCCAAGCACAGTGCTGGGCGGGAAGACATAGCAAATGTGGCCACATGGTAGCCTCCATCAAGAAGCCGGCCTCCAAGTTTGAGAGCAAAGCAAGAGGCTTAAATAAGATTTGGGGACTGGAGGGGAGGCAGGTCTTGTCCATCACTCTATCTGGGAATGATTCAGAAGCCAGGCAGCAGAGGACACACAGAAAGGAGAAGGAAGGGTGGGCATCATGGAGTGCAGGAATCCTACCCTGGGGCCACTGGGGAAATTGCAGGAGCGCCACAGTCATCCAGGGTCCATCTGAGAGTGTGCAACTGGAGAACCTGGGTCACATCAGCCTGTAATAAGTGACAGGCAATGTGGACGGAGGAGGGCAGATAAATAGGGTGATGTGGTGGACGGTGGGGAGGGGGGCTTTTGGAGGAGATGCCACTGACCTGAGTCCTGAAAGACAAGAAAGAGGCAGGCTTTTCCAGGGAAAGGCATCCCAGGTGAAGGAACAGCAAGTGCTTGAGCCCTGCAGAGCAGGGGACAGAAACCAGGCTCTGTCCTCAGCCCTGCCCACGCCCTCCAGCACTGGCTTGCCAGGGGCAGGCTATGCCACCTCCAGTGCCAGCAGAGAGAAAGGAGGTCACTTGCTTCCACAGTCTGAAATAATAAGGAGCCAGAGCAGCCCTGCTCTGCAGCAGCAGTCTCTGCTCTTCATCTACTCTCTAATCTTTCGGAGGGATCTTCACAAGCAGGTGAGGCTGGGGGCAGGGGAAGCCGGTCTTGGTGCTACAATTTACATATGAAACAACGGATCTGTCCTGTCTAAGCCAGGATTCTAGTTTACCGTTTTTGGTGCATCTCACCTGAGCCTACTCTGAGCCTGGCACACAGCAATTACTCAATTAGTACCTGTTGAAGGAGTAGTAATAAGCACAGCCTATACCTAAAGAGACCAGCTGACCGTGCAGGCGCCGGTGCAGGCACCAAGCCTAGATGTCTCCCACATCCCTCACCCCAGCAACCCTTCCTCTGAGGTGCCACCGTTTTTCATGCAAGATGAAGAGACAACATGCCCTTCATATCCAAGGCCTCAAGAGATAAGGTTTCCTCTGAACTCCCACAACCCCCCATTTAGCCTTATCTTTCCTGTGATCCATGCTGGGGGAGGGATGGGTCTTTCTTTTCCCTGTTTCCTCCCCCAGAGTCATCCCCAAGACTGCACCAGGCCCTCAGTGAATGCTGAATGAATGAAAATGAGCAAGCAAGAAATATCCGGCTGGGAGTACATCCGATGCCAGTTTGGGAACTGAGGCCAACACCAGGAAAAGCTTTGAGATTGCCAAGGTCAAGTCTTGTGTGGAGGGGGCAGCCTGGGCCCTGGAGCCAGCCCAACCCCCATTCACACCCCAGCTCTGCCCTTCCAGCTGTGCACCATGGGCAAGGGACTTAACCTCTCTGTGCCTCAGTTCCCCATCTGTAAAATGGCGGGACTGATAGCGCCTGTCTTCCGGGATCGCTGTGAGGTTTCAGAAGTTGATTCATGGAAAGGGCTTTGCACAGTGCCTGGGGCACAGAGAAAACCCTTGATAAATGTTATTATGTTACCATCTGGATGAAAAGGAAAATATGGTAATAGGAAATTCTCCTAAGCTACAAAATAACAACAAAACTTTTCATGATGATCTGCTTTTTGGCTCAGCAGAGAAAAGCAAATGTATCCTGACTCTAAGAGCCAGAGCTAAGGGCGCGAGGCAGGAGGGGACATTCGAGATGAAAGGGTCATCCCTGCATTCCGATCCTCAATCCTCACATTGTGCCCAGCCCCACCGCAGGCCAGCCAGGGCGTAGGGACTTCCCTGGGACCTATCTCATTTCCCCAGCAGCTAGCCCCCCACCCACACACCCCTAGTTGTGGTTCCCCTGGCCAGGGCACCCAGCACCGGGTTCCAGGACCGTAATCCGATCTGCCCCAGTCTGCTCCACACCTGGGGCCGCCTTTGCCTGGATGAAAGAGAGCCGGGAATTGTGAGGGGTGTTATTGTGTCGGGTGGCCCTGGCCCAGTGTCCGCTCCCCTCGCCTGTTGGCCTCCCCGCGCTGGGCCAGGAGTTTTCATTTCCTAAATCATCAGTCAAAACCGAAGCGATTTTGACCAAGTCAGCATGTCTCTCCAAGGCAGTAAAAAGAAGAAAAGAATTCTGCTGACACACACATTGTTCAGTGAGGTGGGGACCTCATCTTCATCTGCAGAGCTCTTCCACCATCTGCCCTAGAGGAAGCTCAGCAGGCCCAGGGGCTCCCTGGGGTAGGCAGCACAGCCGAGGAGGCCAGTGGGCTGCTCTCTCTGTCCACACCACCTGGCTAAGGCCAGATGACCTGGACCTCCAACCCCAGCAAGGACTAGAGGGCCAACTGCGGCCTCGTGTACAGGCTCGAAAATCCCTGTGTGCAGAGAGGTGGACCCTGCAGAGGAAATTATTAGCACACACCTGTGGTGAAATTTTGTCTCCCACGCAGATCTCTCATTGCACGGGAGGCTTGGACTCCTCATACTTGCCCACTCTGAGATTTTCTTTGCACAACTTTAAAAGTAGCAGAATAAGAGTCCTTCCATGAGTCTCAAGTACACATGGCAGTGGCCACAGTTCCAAATGGAAAATACAGACAGACACAAGCACTCTAGAGAAAGCTGGTAGCATGCAGGACTTCTAGGACCTGGAAGCCAGCTAGGGGGACGCCGTGGTTTTGTTTATTATTGTCGGGGCTGTTATTTCTTCCTTGGTTGGAGGAAGCCTGGTTTGGTTTTGAGCACTAACTGTCCTTGGTTCAGCTTTACGGGTAGCCCTTTTCCCCTTTCAAAATGTGACAGGAGTGGCCTGCCTGTCACCTGTTGGGAGCACTTGGTTCTGCCAGACACCTGCTAAACCTGCACTGCCGGAGTCCACATCACCGCCATCTCCTCAATGCATGGAGACGCTAGTTTTGCTCCTCAGATTGCAGAGAAGGAGGACTAACCATCTGAGAGTGACTCGCCCAGAGTCAGACAGCCAATCTGTAATGGAGCCAGGATCCAAAGCCACATCCGTCTACACAGCCCAGGCCTTTAAGCATCAGTGCATGTTTAGTGACCTGGGAGCAGCCCCTTTCTTCCTTGTTTTAACCTAAAGCAACACTTCTCCAACCCAACTGTGCACGTGAATCCCCTGGGGGTCTGTTAGAACATAGATTCCCACACAGCCAGTCTGAGTGGGCTGAAATTCTGCACTTCTAGCCAATTCCCAGGGGTTTGGAGGCTGTGGTCTTCGGGCTATATATTGACTATGGAGGCTTTAGATTTCTGAAGTTATAGCTAACAAGTTGGGGCTTCAAATTAAAAAAACTTCAATATCGGTGATTCCAGGTGTCTTTTTAAATTAACTCATTACTTCTCCCAACTACCTTATATGATTATTATGTTTATTATCCCATTTTACAGATAAGGAAATTGCGGCCCAAATATTTGAGGGAATCTACCCGAAGCCACATGGTGAGTGAGTGAATGATAAAATCAGAATTCTGACAAAGGCTATCTTGTTCCAGGCCCTGAGGGCTTAGACGCTGAGGAACACCAAAGCACAGGGTTTGTCTTAGGCCTGTACGGACCTCCCAGTGCCCAGACCTCAGTGTTGGAGAAACATACCTCTAAGCCCCTCTTCAATTCTTCCTTTATTGCAGAAGTCAAGCACTCAAAAGCTGGCAGGCACCAGCCAGGTAACATAAATACAGAGATGTAATGTGAGGGTCAAGGAATAATTTATTCCTCTTAATTCAGGGATTCTTCCTCCTTAGCCTCCTGAGTAGATGGGATTACAGGTGTGCGCCACCACGCCAGCTAATTTCTGTATTTTTAGTAGAGACAAGGTTACACCATGTTGGCCAGGCTGGTCATGCACTCCTGACCTCAAACAATCCATCCGCCTTGGCCTCCCAAAGTGCTAGGATTATAGTTGTAAGCCACTGTGCCTTGCCAGGGTTTCCTCTGTTTTCCTAAGTAGAAAAGCCCCTTCTCCACCATCAGTCCCTGTATATCAAGTTGGAATATTCTCTCCTCTAAAATTCAGAGTCGGCATATGACCCAGCTTGGCCAACAGAGAAGCACATGTGATAGGTTCAGTGAAGGTCATGGCCAATGAGATTCAACTTTAGAACTTTTGCCAGAACTCCTGGGAAAAAGGGGTCTCTCCTCCCTCTGGGGTTGCTAGGTCAGGGGCTGCTGCTGGCAGTCATCTTTCCTCCCTTCAGGGAGAGCTTGCCTGTGAGAGAAGCCACAGGATAGCAAAACAAGAGGAGGCAGGAGACTGACAGCATCAGTGAGCCCCTGGAGCCCACTATCCCTGAAGCCAGCCCCAGCCAGGACTGTTCAGTTTAAGCTATTGTGTACTGAGTTTTCCGTCAGTTACAATAAAAGTCCTACAGACACGTGGTTCCATTCCTTCATGTTGAGGATAGAGAAATTGACATCCACAGAGAAACTGTTGGACCCAAAGTCTTGCAGTGAATCAGCACAGAGCTGGGATTAGACTGGGTTCCTGGCTCCCAGAGTCCTGGGAACTCCCCACCACGCCACATCATGCTTCTCTCCGTCTCTGTTCTTTTCTTCCTTCTCTCCCCTCCTTCACCGTGTTCTGCTCATTTAAAAATGTTTATTCTTTCTTTTACTTCGAGTTTTATCTTTATTGCCTCCCCCTTGGTAAACCATTATTCTAAATATAACAGGTTAGTCCCAACTCACGTGAAAAGACCATATGGGACGATTAACAGATGTGAGCTCATCTTACATATGATGCAACAACTAATAAGAGTTAGCATGAATGGCACAGCTGATGCCCACGCTTTGCAAATTAGCTCTGGTCTTCGAATCACCCCGAAATTAGATGCAGTATCTCCCATTTCACAGATGAAGATATGGAGGCACAGGGGTCAAAGGGCTTGGCCAAGACACATGACTAACAAATGACAAAGCCAGCATTCAAACTTGGGTGACCCAATTCTGATCCCCTGTTTTGCCCAGCCAGCCCTTGTAAAACCAGGCTGAGATTTTTATTTCCATAGTTCACATGATAACCAACTACTAAGTTGACTTGCCAGGTTTGCCAAATAAAAATATAGGATATCCAGTTAAATTTGAATCTCAGATAAACAAAGACTCAATTTTTTAGAATAACTATATCCCCAAATTGCATGGGACATGCTTATCCTAAGAATGAGCCTTTATTCATCTGAAATGCAAACTTAACCTCTAATCCCGTATTTTATCTGACAATTCTACACTAAGACACGTTTATGCATAAAGCAAAAAGCATCCGCTGAGTCCTTGGTTCTACAAAAGCCTCAGGGCCTTTGCACTTGCTGTACCGTTTGCCTGGAAGACTGTTGCTGATATTCACCTCCTTCACCTCCTCTGGTCTCTGCTCAAATATTTCACCATCGAAGCCTTCCTTTACCCGTCTGCCAGAAGCAACCCATGTTTTATCTTAACACCATCACCTGAAATACAATAGCTACATGTTTGTTTGTTCACTGTGTCTCTCCTGCCATGGAAATGTGGGTGTATGTTTTGCTCTGATTTGTTTACTACCATGAATAGAGCCCAGAACTATGTCCCGTATGTAGCTGATACTCAATGAATATTTGCTGAATGAGTGAATGATCTCATTCACTCACTCTGGGAGCACGTCTTCGTTTCTGTCTGGAATACTGCCTGACTCGGGATTGTCACATACATTCGGTCACCTGCTGAGTGGCAGTGGGCATGCCCCTGAGCTCCCCACTCCTTGGACCGGGTTCATCACACATCCGAGGGTCACTGAGAGATCAGGTGACAAAACGGCCTTGAGAGTCAGTTGCTAACTTGCAGGAGCATGTGAACAAGCATTCCAGTGTGCTTTTCTCCTTCAACAACTCGTGCCCCAGACAACTGAGCCTCGGAACACAAACCCTAAAAAGCAACTCTTTCCATTTTGATATAGTGTCCAGAGCATATGCAAGCTCCTCCGACCCCCAGCATCACTGCAGACAGTGGTGTCAAGCACTCCCATGCCGGAGGGAGGGACAGCACATTAACAGACGTCAGTACCAACAACGGCCAGCAGTCTAGGCGTCCAGTCCATTTATCTGCATCGCTCTATTTCATCCTCCCAACTCTTTTAAAACAGATATTTTTGTACCCATTTTGCAGATGGGGAAACTGGGGCTCAGATTAATCAGTTCCACTGCCAGAAGGCAATGGAACCGTGTTTGAACTCAGCCTGATAGCAATCTCTGAGCCCATTTCCTCACCTGTAAAGTAGGTATAATGACAGTGCTGTCTGGCCAGGCGCCGTGGGCTCACACCTGTAATCCCAGCACTCTGGGAGGCTGAGGCAGGTGGATCACCTGAGGTCAGGAGTTCAAGACCAGCCTGACCAACATGGCAAAACCCTGTCTCTACTAAAAATACAAAATTAGCTGGGTGTGGTGGTGCATGCCTGTAATCCCAGTTACCTGGGAGGCTGAGGCAGAAGAACTGCTTGAACCCAGGAGGTAAAGGTTGCAGCGAGCCAAGATCATGCCATTGCACTCCGGCCTGGGCAACAAGAGGAAAACTCCATCTCAAAAATAAATAAATAAATAATAAAATAATAGTGCCGCCTTGTTGGGATGTTGTGGGGACAAAATGAGATGTCGCGTGTGAAGTACTTACATGGGTCCAGGCAGGCTGCACACACAGGTGGCACCGCAGGCAACCTTGCCCCCTCCCCAGCCAGAAATAACCAGGCTAGAGGATGTCATGTGAAGGCCATTATTCCAAGCTGCCAAGAGTGACCAACGGCATGGCTTGAGGCAAGACAGCTATCCAGATTTATCAGATTCACTTCCTTGGGTATTTGAAGTATGACATCCAGAGAAAATGAGGTTTTAGGAGTGAGGCCAGGTCAAGAGGCAGAAAGTGAAGCCAGTGTGACCATGATGGGTGGTGAGCCAGCCCAGGCCATGCTGGGATCTACATTCCCATTCTTGCCTTTGAGAATGGTGACCTCGGAGTTGTGCAGCACACACTCTCAGCAACTGTACTCAGCAGCCCTTAATATTTATCCATTCATTGATTAATTCACATATATATTAATTTATTCCCACCATGTGACAGTTTTTCAGCCCATGAGGCAGCAGCAGTGGAAAGATATTCAAGACTTCTCTCACGGGTATTTTAGTTAGGGGAGATGGCCAAGAAACAGGAGTGACGGACAAGTACCAACAAGAAAGCCCAAGAGGAGGCTGAGAGCAGAGGGTGAGGAGGCTTCTTTGAGGAGGGGAGGTCTCCAAAGCCAGGCCCAGAGGAGCAGCGGGCAGGGGACTACCAGCAGAGGCAACTGTGGGTACAAAGGCGCTCTGGTGACCCACAAGAGCATCCAGGATGCTTGGCTTCAGAAACACCTCCTAACTCCAGCTTTTCCTGGAGCTGATGGTTTCCCATGCCCAGGTCCCCAGACACAGGTGTCTTTATGATTCCAACACATTCCTTGGGGTGGCTCGAGTTGGTGCCTAATTCTCACAGCCCAAGGAACTCTGACCCAACTTCCATCTGGGGCCCTTATCCTGAACAGAGTCCAGACAGGGGCATTGCCGTCCCTGGTCTGTTCTCCTCGTCCAAGGCTCAGTGACCCTCCTCAGCCAGACTTCTGCCCCACCCATCTCTGCTCCCAACAAGCTCCCAGTGAGCTGTCTGCATCTGCAACCAGGAAACACCATGTTCCCAGACATCAAAGAGTTTGCAAAAGACTGTGGTCACCTCAGACCCAGACCGTTTCCTGCTTAGGTTCCAAGTCCAGGGATTTTTCTTTAGGGCTCCGGTGAAGGGTAGAAGCTGCCCGACATCTCGAGCCGCTGACACCTCCCTTCCCCAGGCCCCACTGTAATCCATGGCTCCTTACAGCCCTCCACTTCTCTAGCCCTGATTTCGTTTCTGTGGGGCAATATTCCTTCATCCCCAGATGCCACGTAGGAATTTTAGGGGGGGAGGGGTGGGAACTGGAGAAACAAAAGGATGATTTGCAGGGGTTCAAAGCCTCATTAGAACCAGAATATTCAATTTACACACATTTGGATCTTTCATTTCCATTTTTTTAGGGAGAGAAAAAAATCAACCTAGTGTGGACATTTTGAGTCCTTTGCTTGGAGGTTCAAGGCAGCTGTGACTTCAGAACGCCTTCCTGGCATTAAGCAATCAACAGGCCAAGCAGATAAAACTACCCTGTGTTTAAAAAGCAGGACTGTCTCCCAGGCAGAATTTTTATAGATAAAACAACAGAACGTGACTCAAAAACATCGCGTTATGAACACGGCCCCATGTAGACGCATAATTCCCTGCTCCGGAGCTCGGTTCTGCAACAGCCCAGGAGCGTCTGCTCCAGATAGTCTCTATGTCCGGCTTCAAGGAGCCACTTCGAAGCCACGATTTCCAGAGGAGTTTTGTGTTGCAAATATCACCTCCACCCCTTCAACGTTTCACTGCGAGGAGGTTCCTCTCTCCTTCTCCTGTTCATCAAAATGTTTGCACATGTTGTGGGGAAAATGACTTTCTGTCAAGGTCGTTTATGAAACGATGGGGTCCAGAAAGGGAGACACGTTTCTTCACCACGGGACTTCTTAGTCTTTAATTAGGGAGGAGAGGGCGGAGTGTTTCACTAGCTGTTATATCAAGTCAGAGGTCTAGCACACGCAAGGGTCAGAAACCCAACTCAGAACGGCTCAATGCCCAACTCAGAGTGATGTCCCTAACAGGGAAGTCCTAGCAACGCTGTGCCCTGGGGCTCATGGAGTGATCTCTATCTTTTAATTTGGCATCTATCTGAATGCTGGCTTTATTATTTCCTACCACAGAGAGGCCTCCTCTGCATTACCACATGTCAAGGCCAGCCAGTGACCCTGGGAAGAGAGAGAGAGCCTCATGCTCCCAGGAGAGGATGTCCAGGTCTCGGCTCGCCTTGCACACTAGCAATGGCAAATGGGGAATGGAGCACTTGGATTTCACAGGCTTGCCTGCTGACTTCTGAGGCAGGGTGGAGATCAGGGTACTAGGTCAGCCTCACTAGAGACCCATAGCATAGGGCAGGCACCATTTTCCCAAAGCAGGGGGACGCCGTCACATGAATCCAGGAAGGGACACTGAACCCAGGAAGGGACACTGGGACCAAATTTGGCCAGGTGCAATGGCTCACACCTATAATCCCAGCACTTTGGGAGGCAGAGGTGGGTGGATCACCTGAGGTAAGGAGTTTGAGACCAGCCTGACCAACGTGGTGAAACCCCGTCTCTACTAATTAGCTGGGCATGGTGGCAGGTGCCTATAATCCCAGCGGCTCGAGAGGCTGAGGCAGGAGAATCACCTGACCACTGGAGGCAGTGGTTGTAGTGAGCCCAGATTGTGCCATTGCATTCCAGCTGGGGCAAGAAGAGCAAAACTCGAAAGGAAGGAAGGAAGGA